ATTTCCTTGAAGCTCGGCGCGTTGTCGTTAATGTCTATGATTTCCACTTCGATTCGGTAAACCTGCATCTGCCCCTCCACTATCAGCTCACAGCGCAGCACACATTTCTCCACCAGCCGGCACAGCTGCTCTCTGTCGATCCTCTCCGCCGTCACTAAATGTCCCGTCTTCCCGTGCAGAGCGAAATACTGCGTCTTACCTTCGGAAACAATGCGGACGCCGCGGTCTCGGAGCGCCGGCAGCTGCAGCCCCAGGTCCTTGGCCACGTCACCCACGAACGAGCCCTTGGGCATCTCCTCGGGGACCGAGTAGCGCAGCTGCCCCCGCGCCGCCTCCAACGCTGCCAGCAGAACACCCCAGAGCAGAGCTCGCTGCCGCCGGCCCCAGCGCCTCCCCGCCGCGCTCATCTCCGCTGCGGCACCGATCCACCGCCGGCAGTTCCTGTCCGCCAGTCTAGACCGCTCTGGCTCCGGCTCTTCCCCCACCTTTTGCTCAGATTCTCAGCTGCCGGCCGTTCCGTCTTGCTACAGAACGGTTCTGCACCGCGGACACGCTCGCAGACGGCCCAGCCGCCGTGCCAGTCACCAAGCGAGCTAATAATGATCAAGTCTGTCCGCAGCGGGCGGGGCTGCAGCGCTCCGATCTTCCTCCCTCTCCTCTCGGTCAACAGCGGCGCCCGCAGCCTCCTCCCGGCACTGCAGGCACCGAGCGCTCCCGAGCGCAGTCTCGCTTCGCCTTCCCCATGGGCAGCTCAGGGACAGCGCATGTTTATGCCGCAGAGATATTGCTTCTCGTCTAGCGGAGACGTTCTGCCTCGGCTTTTGTGCAACTTATCTGTGGTTTCATCCTCCAGCAGATGACGATGAAGAAGTAACACGCAGCTGTGATTATATTTTTTCTACCGCACGGGTAATTGTTTTTATCATGATCACATCACGTGGATGAAATCCTCTCTTAATGAGATGTCTAAGGCATCACGGTTTTCACTGCATACGTCCCAAAGCACAAACTCCTCCACCAATTCCAGTTTTTGTACGAGTCATGCCTGAAGAACAGCTTATCAGAGGATCAAAACAGTGTTGAGGAATAGGGAAAATACTAATAAACAGTCATAATAGTCAAAGAAACCAGCATTACAGGCGGTGCTTGTTATTTTGCAGCTGCACATCGGAAATAGCTCTGAATAAGTTTCCATTACTCCCTGTTATCCAACCACGACTTCGGAATTTTTCATCACAACCCTACGTAGTACAGGCATGACAGTGCTTACTCCGATAACTTAGTACTCCCACACAAAGTTTTTTTAAATACTAAATTACCAGACAGAGTAGTGTCAGTATTTCTGCAGCAGCCTTCCCCCAAAGAAAGAGGTTTTCCCACCTATCAACAAGGTCCAAACACATCGTTTTCAGAAAACAACAATCGGGAAAAAACGTACGTCTCCNAGCCGGTAGCGCACGCGCGCGTTCTGCCCCCAGTCCGCGTCCGACGCGCGCACCGTCAGCACCAGCGCGCCCGCCGCGTTGTTCTCCGCCAGCCGCGCGCTGTAGCGCTCCTGCGCGAACACCGGCGCGTTGTCATTCACGTCCAGCACCCGCAGCGCCAGCACCGCGCTGCTCTGCAGCGGCGGCGACCCGCCGTCGGCCGCCCGCACCGTCACGTTGTACTCGGAGACCTGCTCACGGTCCAGTTCTCTCGCTGTCACCACACGGTAGTAATCCTCATAGGATTTCTCCAACCGGAATGGAGCGCCTACATCAAGTGAGCAGCGCACCTCGCCGTTGCGCCCCGAGTCCCGATCCTCCACGTGCAGTAGGGCCACAACGGCTCCCGCCGGGGCGTCCTCTGAGATCTCGTTCAGCTTGGACGATACTGTGAGTTCGGGCGCATTGTCGTTGATATCTGTCACCGTGATTGCCACTTTCGTCGTGTCGAAAAGAGCTCCATTATCATGTGCCTGCACCTCCAGTTCGTATGAATCACCTTCCTCGAAATCCAGAATCCTCAGCAGCGTGATCTCTCCAGTCTCAGAATCCAGATGGAAAATATCCGATGCCATGTCCGTCTCCTTCTTCATAGAGTACTTAACAAGGCCGTTCAGACCCTCGTCGGCGTCCGTGGCCGTGACCGTGATGAGAACGGAGCCCACGGGAACGTCCTCGGGCACACGCACCGTGTACTCCGCCTGGCTGAACACGGGAGCGTTGTCGTTCGCATCCAGCACAGTCACACGGATCCGAGCCGTGCCCGTCCGTGCCGGATCGCCGCCGTCGCTCGCCCTCAGCACCARCTCGTGAAACGCCGCCTCCTCCCGGTCCAGCGCCTTCGCCAGCACCAGCTCGGGACGCTGATCGCCGCCGGGGCCCGCCTGCACGGCCAGCGAGAAGTGCTCGTCGCCGCTCAGCTCGTAGCTCCGCAGGGAATTCCGGCCTGAGTCCGGATCGTGAGCCTCGGCGAGGGGAAACCTTGATCCCGGGGCTGTCGTCTCGCTCAGTCTCAGATCTTTTTCTGCCTGTCGAAAGCTGGGAGCGTTGTCGTTAACATCCATTATTTCTACATCGATCCCGTAAACCTGCATCTCTCCCTCCACTATCAGTTCACAGCGCAGCACGCATTTCTCCACCAGCCGGCAAAGCTGCTCTCTGTCGATTCTCTCCGCCGTCACTAAATGTCCCGTCTTCCCGTGCAGAGCGAAATACTGCGTCCTACCTTTGTCCAAGATGCGGACGCCGCCATGGCTGAGGGCCGGCAGCTGCAGCCCCAGGTCCTTGGCCACGTCGCCCACGAACGAGCCCTTGGGCATCTCCTCGGGCACCGAGTAGCGCAGCTGCCCCCGCGCCGCCTCCCACGCTGCCAGCAGGACACCCCAGAGCAGAGCTCGCTGCCGCCGGCCCCAGCGCCTCCCCGCCGCGCTCATCTCCACCGCGGCTCCGCCGGCACCGCAGCACGGCCGGCCGTTCCCCGCTGGTCACTCCGCCGATCCTCTCCCTAGCCTCTTCCGGCAGCGCTGCCTCTGAAGCAGCACGGTTCCGCACAGCAAAGACGATCAGAGACTGCTCGCTTGCCGAGCCTAACGGAGACAGCGACCGAGCCGGTCCGCAGCGGGCGGGGCTGCAGCGCTCCGATCTTCCCTCTCTCTCCTCTCGGTCAACAGCGGCGCCCGCAGCCTCCTCCCGGCACTGCAGGCACCGAGCGCTGCCGAGCGCTGGGAGAGAACGAGACGCTCGCCGCACACGTCCCGCTTTTCTCCAGCAGATCTTTTCTGCTCGAACTCCTCAAGAGGAAAGCAGCGGTATCTCATTAGGGGTGTTTCTACCTCACACACACACACACAAAATTGCTATCGGCGTTATCGGTAAAATATTATTATTATGATTTTATTGTGTATATTAATCTTAGTCCTATCCTATTTGTCTAAAAATACGAGTTGAAACAATTTTGCTTGAATGACTATTACAACAATAGAAAAAAAAAGGCTTGGAGATACACAACGCTATAATCAAACACACAACTATCGGCAGGAGGAGTGGAGATATAAAGCTCAGTATCCCAAGTGGCAGTATCTTCTCTTTAAATTTTGCAGTTCGTACAGTAGTCATCACGACTGCCTACGAGGAGGCATTTAAAGGCGAAAGAAGGCAGAGTGTAACAYAACCCCTTACAACTGCCGTGAAGCTGGATTACTCAGGCATCTGCCAGGTTCTCTGGGATGTYTCCCTATCCTTGGGAACAGAGGACAGGAGGAGAATCCCTGGGTACTCAAAGGTCATTGTCTCCAACCTCCCGATTTCAGACTATAGGTCACTGGAGTACTTTGCTGACTGTACAACTAACYCGGAATCAGGAAGTATCTGCGGTAAACCTGGCCAGAATAATCTAAGTTAATACATATTTACATTTAAGTAAGCCGTTCTGTAGCCACAAGAAAGGACTTTCATTTTCTCAAAACCTAAGGTGTAAGGAATTGAACCTTGTTAGTRGAGCATTATTCTAATTGTTTCTCATTCACGTTGGCATGACATATTTTCAGCAAAATACCGTAGAACAGTAGTAGAAGAAATGCATATCCTAAAAGGTGGAGACCACGGAGAGATGTACAAATGGATTTGATTTGACTATTTAAATCGTCATTTGGTGGATCTCCTCGACATTTGATTAAAGTAATCCAGATTTCACCGGTCTATCCCTGTGAAAACCGACATAACAACTAGTGAAAAAAAAAAAAAAAACCAAAAACGAGGACAATTTATATAACTACAAGGTATCCTCTCTTTCTGCAAGAAGGATAGAAAAAGAAAACTAGCTCTATTGTTTTTTTCTTTTTTGAGCCCAATCTACATATTCACTTTTGAATGAAAAGATGAGGAATTTAAAAAAATATTAAAGTACCACACAAGGTGGAAAAAGGTTGTTACCAATGGCTAACAATGGCACTAGTGTTACCATTCCTGACATTTCTGTAGCATTTCCCACAGAACCGGCGAGCCTCTCGCCCTGCATTCATGTAATCCCACTCTCATGTTGCCTTTAAKAATATAAYAGTAAAAAAGAAGAATTAAGACAARGATTTGCCTGYCATCCWCCAGCATYCAAACATACATCGGGACAAAACGACTGGGAAGGAAAAAGCGCAAACMCAAGTGGCAGTCCTTCTTTTCCAAATCCGTCAAACAGATTCACCACATCTCCCTCTACAGAGTAAGCATTCGCCTTCACCGCTACTCACGCTTTTGTAAAGAAACAAAATAGTTCCAGACAACTACGTCCATTTGAGTAGAAAACAGTTACCACCCAAAATCCACGAACTCGCATCACTAAGTACGTTCTTTTAGACGAAGGAGTGCCAAACTATCA